TTATTTTCTCCTAGTTCTGGAGGCTGGATGTCTAAGATCAGGGTGTGGGCAAGGTTGGTTTCTGCTGGGGCTTCTTCTCTCCTTGGCTTATAGGTGATCATCTTCTCTGTGTCTTCACATGTTCATTCCTCTGTGTGCGTCTGTGGCCTAATGTTCTATTTTCTTCTTCTTCGATTTTTTTTTTTTTTTTTTTAGAGATAGGGTCTAACTCTGTGGCCCAGGCTGGAGTGAAATAGGCAATCATAGCTCACTGCAGCCTCAAACTCCTGGGCTCAAGCGATCCTCCTGCCTCAGCCTCCCAAGTAGCTGGGACTACAGGTGTCCGTCACCATGCCCAGCTAATTTTTCTGTTTTTTGTGGAGATGGGGTCTTGCTATGTTGCCCGGCTGGTCTCGAACTCCTGGCCTCAAGTGATCCTCCTACCTCAACCTCCTAAAGTGCTGTGATTACGGGCATGAGCCACCGCATCCAATTATCTCTTTAAAGCTCTCAATTACCTCTTTAAAGACCGTATCTCCAAATACAGTCACATTCTGAGGTTCTGGGAGTTCAGATTTCAAAATATGTGTTTTGAGGGGACACAGTTCAGCCTGTAACACTCACAAAATGCCAGAAGTGCCCCACTGACCATTGTGACAACCAAAAATCATCACCTAGAGGAGGACTAGTGCTACTCCCGGCTAAGCACAACTCAACATGGCAGTCCCTGAATTGTATCCAAGAATGGGTAGACATTCTCCAAACCCATCAATTTATGGATCAACAAGTGCCCTTGACTAATAGCAGATTCTTTCCTGTTTTGACACTGACAGCAGGTGATTATAGCAGGGTGGGGGGTGGCTCTGAGGAGAAGGGGGGCAGTGGAGGAGTTGGGGTTCACTTCACTTCCTGTTTTCTCTGTTCTCATCTCCTCCCTCCTCTACACCTGCCCTGGCCTCATCACAGCCCCTGTACTGTCCGCAGCCTGTAGAGTGGGTGTGTGTGATATATTCTAAGCTCTCCACCCAGGGGACTATTGGCCCAAGTGACAATTTATCTGGAGTCAGGGGAAGTTCTCACATCTCGGAAGAGGGAACTTCAATTTCCTCTCATATGTGTGTCGAGAAATGGGGAAGCAGGGGGTCTGTGGTCACGTCTCAGAGTTACGCTGGGGGAGCCCCCGGTGGATCTGACCCCAACCTACCTCCTTTCCACATCTCTCACGACTGTCTAATTGCAGACAGAGGCAAACATGAAAGGGGTTCCCTCTTACCACTTTGGGTCTGGGGAGCAAAGGTTGGATGTTCTTGGTGGATAAAATATTAATAGTCATGGCTTAGCAAATGTATATCACGTGCTAGAGACATATACATATATATGCAGTGGCTCTCATTTAATCTTCTACATGACTTTGTGAGGTTGGGATAATCACCAATGCTATTTTATTAGCTGGGAAAACTGAGGCCCAGAGGGGTCTCATGGCTTGTCTGCTGTCATTTAGTGGATACATGTCACAGCTGGGATCTGGGCTCCGTCTGTGCCTGCAATGGTTGGTCTCTTTCTGTAGCACCTGTATTCTGAAGGCTGGTCTGTAGACTTGAATTGTGGTGTGGGGACCCTGACTTTGTGGTGTGGTGTGGTTGGAACAGACCTCCTGGGCTGAGAGAAGAGACCAGGGGCCAAGTTCTGAGTTTGTTGCTAATAATCTTTGTGGCTCTCCCTGGGGCTATTACGATAATGTAGGTGAGTGTCGATGAACACCAGGCAGCTAACTGGGAAGGTTGGAAGGATTCTGGATCTATTTTGAAGCTATAGCTAATAGGATCCGCTGAAGGATTAAATGTGGGGTGTGAGAGAAAGAGGAAATAATGATTGCAAGGTTTTCAGCCTAAGCCACAGGAAAGAGGGAGGTGTCATTAACAGAGATGGGGAAGAAAAAATGGTCATGAACACAACCCATTTAAATTTGGGTGGTTCGTGAACTTTTGCCAAAGTTCTTAGAACTTCTCTTCCCAAGTAAGAAGCAAGTCAAGAATGGAATCTTGTGTGTAGCAGAGGAGATCATACCCTGCCTAGGTTCTTCTTTTTTTTTCTTTTGAGGCAGAGTCTCACTGTGTAGAGTGCAGTGACATGATCATAGCTCACTGCAACCTCATACTCCTGGTCTCAAGTGATCCTCCTGCCTCAGCCTCCCGAGTAGCTGAGACTACAGGTGTGTGCCACCATGCCTGGCTAATTCTTCTATTTTTTTTTAGAGACAGGGTCTTGCTATGTTGTTCAGGCTTGTCTTGAACTCCTGGCCTCAAGCAATCTTCCCGCCTCAGCCTCTCAGAGTGCTAGGATTACAGGCGTGAGCCATATCACCTTACATTTTTAGTGACTTCTTATACCCAGAAGCTGCCACCAAAGTCCACTTAATCTGCCCCATGGCAGGTGGAAAGTTTCAGGGGAAAAACACTTCCTGGAACAGACTTCAACCAAAGCCTGGACTTGGTGTATGTGTACTCCAGCTGTCTCACCCCTCAGGAGAGAGGACTCTGAGATGCATG